TTTTTTTTTGAGATAGGGCTGCACTCTGTCGCCCAGGCTGGAGTGCAGTGGCGTAATCTCACTCACTGCAAATTCCCTGGCTCAAGCAATCCTCCCACCTGCTTTAGTCCCAATTAGCTAGGGCTAAAGGCATGTGCCACCAAGCCCAGCTAATTGTTTTATTATTATTTTTTTTTGGTACAGATGGGGTTTCACCATGCTACCCACTTAGTCTCAGACTCCTGAGCTCAAGCAATGCACCCGCCTCAGCCTCCCAAAGTTCTGGGATTACGGGAGTGAGCCACTACGCCTGGCCTTTTTGTATCAGAATCCCTTGGAGGGCCTGATGAAACACAGACTGCTGGGCCCCACCCCCAGATATTCTGATTCAATAGCCTGGGAATTTGCATTTCTAACAAGTTCCCAGATGCTGCTGCTGCTGCTGCTGCTGCTGGTCCAGGGTCACACTTTGAAAACCACTGTCTGGATGGTATCGAAACGCTCTGGGAGACTGGACAATTTTTGTTTTTATAATGTCAATATGGCATTGTGGGAAACAGGATGGATGGGGGTTTATGAGAGGATGTTGTGCTCTGAAAGGCACAGCAGTATCAGCCTTAACTCACAGCTTCTAAATTTCTATGTCCCAGGGCCAGATGCTTGGAAAGTCCCCTAGCTCCACTTTGCGTCTTCGCTTCCCTTCAAGTCACCTACTGCTCAGTAGCAAATGGCGCACATGGTGACTTACACCTTTCCCATTCTCCAGCGTGTCTGGCTATGTGTTCACGTTCCTGACAATCATTTTGATGAGGAAGAAGTTCAAGACTGAATATAGGGCAATCAGTCCATTAAAGAGTGCTTGATAATGTCCTGGTCTTAAAATAGAAAGCCTTACATCTTGGGGACTCCCTCAGTCCGGGGCAAATGAGAACAGTTGGTCACCCTAATTAATGCCAAAAATGATGTCTAGGAATTTTCTGTGGTTTTCTTTCATCTTATGCCCACAAAACCTGGAATAAATATAAACTCATTTTTTTTTCTGGTTAAGAAAGTAGGCAAGAAAGCTAAAGCTATCTGAACACCCTAATATCATAGCCTTATTTGCAAATTAAGTTTCAAAGTCAACACCTAAAGCAAAAACTGATTACAGCAAACATTGCTCTTGACAGTTGTTTAAATTATCCACAGAGGGCTAGGTGTGTTGACTCATGCCTGTAATCCCAGCACTTTGGGAGGCTGAGGAGGGCAGATTACTTGAGGTCAGGAGTTTGAGACAAGCCTGGCCAACATGGTGAAACCTCATCTATATTAAAAATACAAAAATCAGCCAGGTGTGATGGTTCACGGTTGTAATCCCAGCTACTCGGGAGGCTGAGGCAGGAGAATCACTTAAACTTGGGAGGCAGAGGTTGCAGTGAGCCAAGATTGCACCATGGTACTCCAGCCTGGGTGACTGAGTGAGACTCCGTTTCAAAAAAAAAAAAAAAAAAAAAAAAATTACCCACAGGGTCCAGTATGCATGCAACCCAATGTACTAATTCTTGTGTACATTAAAATTTGAGAGCTACTCAGCTAAACTAAAAGATGACAAAGGGAAAATCTCTGTATACATGCTAGGGTATTTTAACCAATTAGATCCCCAGTGGGTTAGTGGTGATGAATGGAGACTGCTTAGGTGTTTCAGCTTATCGGTTGGTTTCACTTCATTTTGTGAGGTTAGTCAAACCTTAATAATTTTAATACACATTAACACATTTGTTTGCTGTTGTGAGTTTTAAGTGAAGCTGTCTCACTTGAGAGAGGCGTGGGGTTGAGTTTTAATCTAGCAGGTGGTCTAACTGTGCACATGATATAATTGGACAACACTTTGATCTTCTCATTGTAGGAAAGATATGCTCCCCCAGCTTCAAAGATTGCCTCTAGAAAATAGGTCAGTTTGTCTGCCAGGGTCTTATGGCAAGAAGAGATTAGATAAGGATAAGCTGCTTCTTAAAGTAATTTATGCTGCTTTCTGGGCAGCATTATTACAAGAACACCTTGCTCTGGAGGTTATATAAAATAGCCAAGTAGCAAAACCCTGTCTGCTAAGCTATTAAGGAAACATATTGGCCACACTTCCCTTTGAAATAAAATGTCTCTATCCTGGTCATTTCAGGTCAAAACATGGCAGTTACAAAACCAAACAGGACATGGGTTAAAGAAATCAGGCTGTAGGCAAATAATGGTTTTTAAGAAAGGAAAATGGTATAATACTTATAACCAGTCACGGCATAGGGCCTGTGAAAGCCTAATTCTAAATTTTAGAGCAAGTGGACAAATCTGTTTTTAGCCTAACCATATCTTTTTTCCACTTTTCCTTTTAGAGTTAAATCCCGGTACCTCTCACTAGACATATGGTGCCTGGAATACCGCGAAGTGTATAGCACCAGGCCCCGGCCCTCCCACACTTGATCTTTCCCTCATCCAGTCCAAAGGGAGCCTTGGGGAGGCTCATTCCCTCCTTGCCTGTTTAATAAGCATTACCCTGTGATGTGAGCTCTTGCAAATGGCTTCCTGTGTTATCCTTTGTAATAAGCGTATGTACTGGTTTTTTTCTTTTTTTGAGATGGAGTCTCATTCTGTCGCCCAGGCTGGAGTGCAGTTTCACAATCTCAGCTCACTGCAGCCTCCGCCTCCCATGTTCAAGT